GGGACTTGTGCTAAGGCTCACAACAAATGGGAGACACTTGGCTCTACGGAGGGCGTTTGGTTACGCACAGGAAGTCCTAACCTAAAGGCTAGCTCTAGAAAATCGACAATCAATCACATAGGTACGTTGACTCGTCGACCCATGCCGACGCACGCACCCCGTATGGGCGATCGAACCCACACGCCTAGACACCACTAAACCTAAGGCTAGCTAGAAGTTTAGGGGATCTCACCACCGTGATGGTTGCAGATGCGTTCTCTTTACTTGCTCCAAGCTCGCCGACATCCGATCCATGCTCCAGTGTGCCTCGTAGAACGTGCATAGATCAACAGAAAGTCCCAATGAGGGCAAGGAGGGGAATCAGTGAGGTGCAAAATATTAAAAAAAAAAAATTTTGGCATATAGAAGTATAACCAAAATATACCTTCGAGGGGCGCTCGACGGCGGTGAAAGAGAGGAAGCTTTCCTCGCACAAGAAAAGACGCTTGTACCTCCCAAACTGGGACTTTGCTCGCTGCCCGACGACGTCGAAGTGCTCTGGGGAATTATCCGGTCGCCGGGAAGATAGGATAGCGATGTGGAGGACTTAGCTTACTGGCGGTGCGCACCGGGGGCGAAAGAAGCGCGAAGGAGAGCCCGAAATATGTCGTTTTCCTCGCTGATTTTTCTCCGGCGTAAATACGACGCCGGCGAGTGATAAGGACGGCGAGGAGGAAGAGATCCGGCGGAAGAGGAAGAAAAAGAAGAAAAAGAAATAAAAAAAAAGAAAAATTAGGAGAAGAAGAAGAAGAAGAAGAAATAAAAGAAGAAGAAGAGAAATTAGGAGAAGAAGAATAAGAAGAAGAGGAGGATGTTTTGCCGGCGGCTAGGGAGGGATGTGGACGGCTGGAGGAGCGCTGCCCGGTTGGAGGAGGTCCGACGACGGGCTTCGCCGGCGAGGAGAAGGTCGGCGGTTTCGCGCGAACGCGAGCGGGGTTTCGCCGTGGGTTGCGATCCACAAGGAGAGGAGCGGGCGTTATTTTTTTTTTGAGCCGGGAGAGAGAAGGATCTTTTTTCATATATATATATATATATATATATTTATGGGAGAGGCGTGGGCTGTGAGGAGATGCGGAGAGAGAGGCTTTTTTTTAATATATATATATATAATATTATTATAATATAATAATAATAATAATTCAATTAACCTCTCCCCGCTCATTTTCGTCGAACACGTCATCGCGATAAATGAACGTCTCCCTTAAGTAAAATTGACGTTCTGGACGCACCGGTATGGTCTATTTAGTCGTCCGGGGTCTTTCGGACTATTTATTTTAGCAATTTATTTTAGCAATCATTTTAGCAATCAGGACGAAAAGAAAAATTCACGCATTTTTAGCCCGCACGCAAAATCGTGGTACAACGAGCGTTCGTCCTAAGTGGAATCGACATTTCAGACTCACTCGCGTAGTTTGTTTCGTCGTTCGAGGTCGTTCGGACCACTTTTTCAGCAAATGAGTCCAAAATGATAATTTACTTTTTTTTAGTCCGTATTTGAATCGTTAACGACATAGACATCCTCCTTAAGTAATATAGACGTCTCAAACGCATATGACATCAAAAACCGATGCCAACACTTAAATCCCATTTTTACTTAGTGTAATGATAATTTCATATATGATAAATCCTGTATGGGCCATTGGCTAGCTATGACAGTTTTGTTACAAACAACACTAATACACATGGGTAGAATGATCATTTATCTAGAAATAACTGCAAATCAGATGCTTTCCAAATGCACAAACCAAACAACTAGCTAACTTATTCGGATCAGCTGCCGATCAACAGCATATCTGAATAAGGTTCTTAGCAGCATATTATTGATAAGCTGTAGCTGCCCCAAACAGACCCTTAGAGACACTTCCAACCATATTCTCTGATGCGGCTGAAGAAGGAAGACAAAGTTAACATTGACCAAAGATGCTTAATGGAGTTTTCAATTGAGAGCTAACTGCAGGATCAGGAGTGTTGTGACGTATTCCCCATGAATGCCTACCACATTTTGTTGGGGAGACTGTGGCAATTTGACCAGAGGAGTCAACACAACGGATCCACAAACACTTATTCATTCACCAAGGAGGGGAATTACATAGTTCTTCCTTTGGTGGGATTAGTTTTGGTGACGACTGAGGATCATAAGACGAGATACCGGCTCCAAGCACGGGATAGGTATGACAGAGGGCATTTTAGGATATTATGGTCAATACCTTATGACTAGTGCCACCGCTGTGTGGGGAGATTTAGATTACCCCACTTCAGATCTGGTTAAGTTGATCGTGGATGACTTCGGGAGTATTCAAAAACAGTGGAAAGATACACAAACTCAATTTAGTTTAGTAGTAGACTTCCAGAAGATTGGACCGATGTGGCTGTTTGGTTGTAAGTTGGGAAAGATCCTCAGGTGCCTCGGGAGATGGTGTGGTGGCCAGTGAGATCTAGGTGCTGCTAGGATTACAGATGAGGAGCCAGAAATTTCGACGAATGAAGTCAAAGCTCCCCTAACTCCGAGAGACTGATGCAAGACTTAGTGGTCCCTGTCCAGTTTGACAGAAACCCTATGCAGCAGGGACGCTGGACCGACCGGCCAACCTTGGGGGTGGGAGTTACTGCCCCTTCTACCCGCCTTGCCTATTTGATTCCTTGCCTTGTCTAGCCCTTCCTATTCTATCAATTGTCTGCCTCTTTCCTGTTTCATTACCTTCCTATTCTATCTACTATTTCTCATTATATATATGTTGTTTGTTGCCCTAGGGTTCAGTTTTGTATTCCAGATTTCAGATTTGCTGTCCAGCCTGCCGTTGGCGGCTGTTTTAGCTTCTAGGACTGTATTCGAGGGAGAGAAGGTGCTTCGGTTGTAACTCGTTTTAGGTGGTAATCTTCTTTAAGGGTTTGAGAGGTGCTCGGAGATAAACTCGCTGCCGTGGGGATAGTTATCTTCTACATAATTCATCTCACCTGTCAGTTGCTCCTCTCCCTGTAGGCCTACATCGCTGTTGCCGCTCTCCCGCTCCACATTGCTGCTGCCGCCCACGTCCAGCCCATCGTCTTGTTGCCCCAATTCACCCAGCACTCTCCCATAACTATTGCTGCTAGTCTTTCCAGCACCCTTGGCTATTTTTGGCAACCCCTCTCCTTTGCTCTCCCTGCTGCTAGCAGCCTTCCCAGCACCCACTTCTATTGCAGGCGACCCCCTCCTTTGCCGACCCTGCTGCCGTCGCAGCACCCACTTCTATTGCAGGCGACCCCTCCTTTGCTGTCCCTTCTGCCGCTAGCCGTCCCAACACCAACATCTTTTGTAGGCAACCCCTCCTTCGCAGTCCCTGCTGCTGCTGGCCTGTACCAGCCCCCACATCTATTGCTGGCAACCCTTCCAATCACCACATTTGCTGATGCCAGCCTCTCCAACAACCATCCCCTGCTGCCTCAACCCCCTCCTACCCTCTAGCCTGTTGCGGCAACTCTCTCAAAGCCCTCAGGCTATTGCCACAACCTCCCAATCCAAAACCGACCTGCTGTGCAGCAGCCACCCACCTCCTCTGCCAACGCATTATGGCTGCCTTTTATGTTTGTATTTGTTTATTTCTGGTTTGAAGAGTCGTTGTAACCTGTTTGCATTTCAACAATAATATTTTCTTACTTTCTCTCTCATGATTTGGGTCAACTCCGGTGTAACCGATAGAGTTGAGATCTTGTTACCATCCAAGTCGCCCAAAGCCGGTCAGCACAACTACTCGCTAGTGCTCGGGCCAGCCCAGGTTATATTGACCGGCAACTTTGCATGAATCCTTTCTTTGTTTGAAAATCACTACGTGCATTCGATGTAATCAAATAACTACAAGTAACAAATATTTATTTATCGCAAATTGTCATCGATCTTACAATAAATGCAAATGTCAAACTTTGGGTGTTATTTCTGTGGTATGTGTGAAAATTCCTCTTGCTTTACCATGTTCCCAACTTTGATAAAACCTTACTTTCTTGTACAGATTAATTGCGCTGTAGAATCCGTGGCAAAAGTCCGGGAAAGCTCAGGCCAGATCCCTCCACCGGCACTGCATGCAGTTCTCATCAACAAATACCAGAAAGTCAAGGATTTGAGCAAAAGCTCAACAATAACTTGATGTCACCTGTTTCCCCATCGACTTTGTTGGAGGTATCGTTAATATTGAACATATAAAGTATTTTTTTTGTAAAATAATGGTTATGGTTAATGTAGGTTTCTAAGTGCTGGTATGATAAATTAGAAATAAAAATACTAGGATAAATATGTGAACAAATTAGAAAAAAATTAATAAATTATGTTATGAGTCAACAGCATATTTTGAAGATAAAAACAATAAATGATTGATTTAGGTGATTTTGATGTGTACAAAAGAGGGTGGAAGATGAATTAGTAAAATTTTGGAGAGGTAACATGAATTCAATTTTATCAAAATTATTTATGCAAAATATATTTAGTATGTTAAGTAGTTAGAATAAATAAAGAATGAGGATTCATGAAGTCCCTCCAAATACTTGTGGCAACACTAGTGATAAAGATGTTGACTACTTTTAAATGATATATTTATTATGGGGGAATTTCCATTGGTAACATTTCTTTTTAGGGCAATGCGATACATAACATTGGAAAAGTTGCTATTTACAAATCTAGCATCTTATATTCATTTTTCAAAATTTCACTCAAATTTCAAAATTTTATGATAGACCTCCATATTTCTCATTTTTTTATTAAAATCTCAATGATTTGATTATGGCATACACAAATGCATTGATTCGGTAGTTCAAAAAATCGCCTTGGTGATACTAGTGCTAATTTTGTAAACATCAATATTTTGAGTATTGTGTGTAATGATCCTTTTTTTCTTCATGTTTCATGATTCACACCTAATGTTTCTACTCTTTTATTTACATTAAAATTACAACTCTATTGCCATCATTTCTAAGTCTCAACCTCTTAACCTAAACAACTAATCACATCTCACTAATGACTATTCATATATTAATTTTATTATTTAGAGTGGATACAAATTGTTGAAATTCAGAATAACGCAGAATAAAGTGGAATACTTAATTGTTTCATTGATATGAACGGAGATATAAATAACCATTATAAGAATCCTATAATAGGAAAATAATAAAAAGAAAATGATATGAAAAGAAAGATGTATCACTTAATATCCTCAATAATCAATTTATATTAATTGTTCTGAGATATATGAAATAACATAAAATAGGAAAATAAATAATTCTTAAACCAAAGAAATAAATATAAAAAAGAAATCAAATATCTCCTTAATTCTAAGGAAATAATTTATTCCTCATAACTTCTTATAGAAATAAATTATTTCATATTATAACTCCTAACACTCCTCCTCAAGTTTGTAATGTATGTTAATAATTCTTAACTTACTGGATATTATCAAGAATTGAGAAGTATTTAGTAGTTTTGTGAAAACGTCTGCTGATTGTTTTAAAGTAGACACATGAGTCAACTTTATTATTTCTTTTTGAACTTTCTCCCGAATGAGATGACAATCAATCTCTATGTGATTTGTTCGTTCATGATATATCGGGTTCGAGGCGATATGAAGTATTTTTTGGTTATCACAAAATAAATTGACAGGATGTGAATGCATGATCCCCAAATCCTGCAAAATTGTTCTTAGCCAAATAATCTCGCAGCTGGTACTAACCATGGACTGATAGTCAGCTTTTGCACTAGAATGTCATACGGTGGTCTGTTTCTTGGTTTTCCAATGAATAAATGAACTCCCAAGGAAGATACAATACCCAATAACTGATCTTCGAGTGTCGCATCACCTGTCCCAATCTGCATCACAAAAGACATTTAGTTGAGTTGAGCTTACTGCTAAGAGGAAAATTCCTTGTCCTGCTGTCTGTTTTAAATAACGTAGAACATGATGGACTGCTTCTAAGTTTGGCACTCGTGGCTTGTCCATAAATTGACTTAAGATATGAACTGTATATGGCGAGTCAGGACGTGTGATAGTCAAGTAGATTAATCCCCCTACTAGTTTTCGAAATGATGATGAATCACTGACATATTCTCCTTCTGACTTGCTAGGAGATAAGTTTTGTTCCATAGGAAAACTGACTAGTTTTACACTGAGGTACCCAACATCCTCGAGTATTTCAAGAGCATACTTTCGCTGTGAAAACACAATACCCTTTTGGGATTGCGCAACCTCAATACCAAGGAAATATTTCAATTATCCAATGTCCTTTAATTTGAATTGGTTCCTTAAGAATATTTTGACATATTCAATTTTTGTTAAGTCATTCCTTGCAATGATGACATCATCTACATATATAAGAAATGCGATGAATTTATCATTCTGGGATCGGACGAACAAGGAATAGTCTGGCTTTGATTGCATAAAATTGGCTTGCTTTAGAGCGGTGGAAAGCTCGATTAACCATTGTCGTGAAACTTGTTTGAGACCATATAATGATTTGTGGAGTTTACAAACTCGAGTCTCCCCCTTTCGTCCGAGGCCAGGAGGCAACGACATATATACGTCTTCGTCGAGGTCCTCATGCTAGAAAACATTATTGACATCTAGTTGATGGAGATGTCATTGCTTGGTTGAAGGAGTAAACGAACAGTTACAAGCTTTGCTACATGAGCAAATGTTTCCTAGTAATCTAGCCCTTCAATTTGATTATACAATTTTGCCATTAATCTGGCCTTGTAGCGTTCAACTGTCTCATCTGCACTAAGTTTGATTTTGTATACCCATTTGCATCCAATTGGTCTTTTTCCAAACGGTAATGGTACAAGGGACTATGGCCATTGACAATGTGCGTCAAGTTCTTCTCGCATAGCAACCTGCCACTTTGGAGTACGAGCGGCTTCTACAAAAGTGCTTGGCTCCTTTTCAATTAAAAGAACGTTGGTAAAAACATAGTGTTTAGGTGACAATATAGCATATGACAAGACGTCAGTTAATGGATAGAAGGTACCTGTAGCTTTGACCAACACGAAGTTCGATGTTGGGGGGTGTCGTTAGAGAAGAGAAATACCAATATAATACATAAATAGCTAGGCGTTTTTGTTGTTCTTATTGGTTGTGGTGATGATATTTGTTGGTCTGGAGTTGTAGGTTGTTTTGAGAATAAATTTGGAGTTAGTGAAGTTGAATGAGTCTCTTCAGAGGGGATTTCATTGTCTTGAGAAGATGAAATGTTTTCTTGAGATAATTCATTGAATGAAGGCATGTCGGTGTTGGTGGTGAAGTGCGAAATTGAACCTTTATCTGTAGCGAAAGAAGGGGAAGGAAAAGTGTTTTCATGGAAACGAACATCCCGTGATACAAAAACTTTCTCAGTTGAAAGGTTATATACTCTATAATCCTTTTGCGCGTATGGATACTCTAAGAAAAGACATCAATGACTCTGGGATCAAACTTGGTTGGTCGCAGATGATGTGTTGAAGCAAAACAAAGATACCCAAACACATGCAAATGATCATATGTGGGTTGTGTTTGGAAGAGCATTTCAAAAGGAGTTTTTTTCTTGGAGAAGGTGTGTTGGTGTTCGTTTAATTAGGTAGGTGACAGTTAGGATTACATCTTCCCAAAATTTTTTTAGGTAAATTAGCTTGAAACATAAGACTCGGGCTATGTTGAAGAAGTGACGATATTTTCTTTTAGCTACGTCATTTTGTTGCGGAGTGGAGACACAACTGGATTGTTGAATGATGCCTTTGTCGAAATAAAGATTCCTTAAGATGAATTCAGAACCATTATCACTTCGAATGATTTTGACCTTTAGACTGAACTGTGTTTCAACGAGATTTATGAACTTGATGATGTATGAATGTGTATCTGATTTATGGTTCATCAAATAAGTCTATGTACATCGAGTATAATCATCAACAATTGTGAGAAAATACCTCGCTCCTATGATTGAAGGAACTTGATATCCTCCCCAAATGTCAATGTGAATTAATTCAAAAGGTGTTTTGAGCCAATGAAACTTGTTTGAAAAATGAACGAGTTTGCTTAGCCAATGGGAAAATTAAACAATAAAAAGCATTACAATTTTTTTTTTATAATTAGAAAAGGAAACAAGCTCGAAACTTTATTCGATGGGTGGCCTAGACGTTTATGCTAGTGATTTGGGGATGGTGAAGTAGCAACATTGCACTTGCTCTTTTGTGCAGTGTCAAGGTAGTAGAGTCATCCTCTTTTAGTTCCAGCCCCAATCATCTTCCCCGATTGTTGGTCCTGTAGCACACAAGCGCGGTTATTAAAAATGACGAAGCATTGTGAATCAAGCACAAATTTGCTAATGGAAATCAAATTTAATTTGAGTGGACACATAAAACATTTTGTAGAACGAAGTCAGCAAAATGAATGTTGCCTATGTGCGTGACAGTTGCAGGAACCTCGTTAGGCAAGTGAACTTTTCGATTGGTGGCACTGGATTTTGTAATAAGTAGGTTGGCTGAATATACCATGTGATCTGTGGTTCCTGTGTCAAGAATCTAACACATTTTTTTGTCAAAATAGAGGCACAAAAGATTTTACCTGAGATATCACTCATGGATGATGTACTGCAAACATGATTAGTCATCGAATTAGATTTGTTCTCTACAAGTAGTGATATGAGACTTTGATATTGTTCGGTTGTAAGGGTGAATTGTGCATGACTCGTCGATGTATTGGTATCCGCATGGTTGACTTTGGGAGCAAAATTTTTCCGTTCAGGTTTATTGTCCGCTGGATTGACCCTTTACAACTTCTTACAGTCATTGATGGTGTCTCCCTGCCACCCACAATAATCGCATTTGAGATGTGTTCGACATGTGTCTGAGGTATGCCCAATTTTGTCATATTTTTCACACTTTAAATGAGGATTTTTAGGCAAGAAAACCTTCTCTGATTTCCATGCATTATTCTTCACGGCAAAAGCCGAAGCTTCCGGCTACGATGCACTTACATTGTTCATCCTGCGCTGCTTTTCCTCTTGGAGCGTGAGAGAATATGTTTTGCTGACATTGGGAAGGTGACCCATAAGCAAAATCTGTTCTCTTATACCAGTGTATGTTTCATTAAGCCCCATGAGGAATTTCATGGTTTACTGGTTTTGCTGAAACTGCATCACTTTCTTCATGGTACCGCACTTGCA